AATCAGTAATCAAAACCTTTTCAACAAAGAAAAGTCTAGGACCAGATTGTTTCCCTGGTGAATTTTACCAACACTTTAAAAATAATTGATACTAATCCTTCTCAAATTCTTCCAAAAAATTGAAAGGAAGCGAACACTTCCAAACACATCTTATGAGGCCAGCATTACCCTGATACCCAAATCAGATAAGGACACTACAAGAAAATGATAGACCAATATCCCTATGGATATAGATCAAAAAATTCTCAACAGAGTATTTGAAACTAAATTCTACAACATAATGAAAGGATCCTATACCACGATCAGGTGGGATTTACTCTTCGGATACGAGAATGAATCAACATGCCCAGGTAATTATCTGTTACACCTAATCCATAGAATGAAAGATAAATATCATTTGATCATTCTAACAGCAATAGAAAAAGCATTTGGCAAAATACATCTTTTCATGATAAGCACTGTTAACAAGCTGGAAGGAACGTACCACAACATAATAAAGGCAGGATACAGCAAGCTCACAGCTAGCTTTATACGCAAGGGAGGTGCCCTATGCAGTTCATACTTGAAGGAAGTGCAGAGATGTAGTTAATTTGAAAAGAAAATGAACTCCTCCTTGGAGTAAAGCACGTAATTCACAGTTATTGACCCAGAAGAGCATGTTTTGCAAATGGAAGCAAATATACAAGTGAATGAGGGTTTCCAATACTTAAGCAAGCCAACAAGATTGAAAATTCAAATCCTGAATTATAGAAGTGTTCCAGAATAGAAAGCCTCAGACAACCAAATCCTGCTGTTTATGGGATTCCATTCTAATTAAGCAAGGCATCTCTGATTGTTTTGATGTCATAGCTGATTACAGGACAAGCTGAAACCACACGGGTCATTCTACCACCCTGTAAGATATGAGAAGGGAAGGGGAGGAGGATGTCTGTCTCCCTGGCTTACGGTCGCAGGAAGCTAGTGGGGAAGAGAGTCACTTCAAGCACTAGAGAAGCAGTGGCTTTTACTTGCTCTACCCCATCCCCCCACCTTTTTTTTTAAATAAAATGTAGGTACTGGGGATTGAACCCAGGACCTTGTGCATGCTAAGCACATGCTCTACTGCTGAGCTATACCCACTCCCTACCCTAGCTTAACTCTGGATGAGTTGAGCCAAAGGAGAAAGCAGGGTTAAAACCTACCTCTGATTCTTGTGATCTCTGAATCTCTAACAGGTCAGCCCTAGTAGACCAGCTTCCTCGGCTACTCAAGGGACATCAATTCCACTGCTTAAGTCAGCTCTGAGCAAAAATGAGTCTCCCTAAAGGGAGAGATTTTCCCTGCCCCCGAGGCTCCTCTGAATCTCTATTACAAAGTCTATACACCCCAGGTATCACTTTTAGACAATGCAGTTTTTGCCACTGGATGAGCAGAATGTCAGGGAGCGAAACCCAGAAAGAATTCTGAAGGAAGTTTGCTGTATATTGTGACCAAACCCTTCCATATTTTGTTGCTTTACTGAGAGATTTGATAAATACATTATTTTAAAAAAGGATCTGGATCTTAGAATTGAATTTCTTTTAGATATGTCATTGTGCAGAGACTGACCCAGGCCAATTTCTGTTCAGGTTCCTTATTTGAAGACATCTGTACATTTCAAAATGCTCCCCATGGTACTTCTAGACACAATCTGTCACCAAAGTTATTACATAATTACTGAGCATATTCCGCCCTCTGTACATTTCATACCTGTGACTCATTTATGTTTTAACTGGAAGTTGGCACTCCTTCATCTCCCCCACATATCACTGGTCTCCCCCACCACCTCCCCTCTGGCAACCACCTGTCCCGAACGCCACCAGCACTGGAATTTATCAAAGGCTGAACAGTGTCTGGGAAGGAAGAACCCCCTACAACACCTCATTCCTTTCAACCACTGTTCCCTTTTCAACCTTCCCCAGTTGCAGTGGGGAGGACTTTGCATTGTTTCCTCAGCCCTGTGCCAGATCAGCGGTTGGATATTTGCTGCTAGAACCCCTTCCCCTCAGAATCATTAGAGTCCAAGCTGCATTCAGCACAGAAGTGGGAGAAAACTGCTCCACACCCGGATCCACCCCCTCCGCCGCTGCACCCCCACCTGGAGCAGCACACGCAGACTCGCTCGTGCATCTGCACGTGGGTTGATGGCGGTGAGCAGCCAGGCAGACGCTCAGCATTGTCACAGTCGTCAGTAGGACAGCCAACACCCAACAGAAGTTGCTAGGCTTACCTGCCACGACTTTGTAAAGAGAACAACGAATCCAAATGGATTTAGACAGTTTATTACCTACACACAGCGAAGCATGATCAGCAAGGTGTTTGCTCCTGCGGCCACAGGATGACACCCAGCCAGGGGGCCAGAGGATGGGCAGTGGAGGTGGCACGCCTCTCTGCTGCTGAGGACTCAACTCCACACCGTAGCCAAGTGGTCTTATAGCTCAACCTGAAGGGGGCTGAGGTGGAAAGTTCCATGATTTTACTCCCTGAAACCAGGGAGGGGGAGGAGACCCTACCTTGTGGCCACCCATCATAACATGGCTTTTATCCTTTGTGTTTCAAAAAGAACTGCAGGGTCAGATTCAGTCAAGACTCATGCCGGCCTGCAGTTAAGTCTTGCTGATGTGGTCCATGTGAGAGACATACAAGATCAAAAGGGCAGATCTGTTCCTCTCTCCAGATGGGAGGCTCAAAGAAAAGGTGAATGGGGAGCTGAAGGGACGACAGGGGAAAGCCTGGGTGTAGAAAGATGTTTCTGTAATTGGAAGCCTCCACAAATGATACAGACATCCTTTCTATGAACAGAGAGGAAAGCAGGCCTTGAGGAGAGCCTGACTATCGCTCTGAAGTGAGAAAATATATTCTAAGTTGTTTTCATGAGAACCTTAGCTGCGGCTCAGCTTTTCAAATCCAAGATCTTAAGATTCTAAAGTTCTGATGGCTTGTAAGAAATGCTAAAAACCAACAGCTGTGGGCACATCACAGTGTCACAGTTCAGTTTAAATCCCCTGGCTGTGTAAGAGACAGAGGCATGCCAAGGACTTACAAGATGATTGGCGTTTCTTGGCTTCTCACGTCAGGGGTCAGGGTTGCCTTTGATACAGCACTCCAGCTGAAACTTACAGTAGGCAACTAACATTTCACTTACGTAGCACTCAAATCTGCAGGTACCGTTTTGATAACATCGCTTGTGCATTTCTGAATACAATGGATTCAAGCCTGGAGAGAAAATAAATGGAAAGGTAATTCACGATAGGCCTTTTGGGACTCTAGAATGGCTGGTCCTTCCATTTTTGTCAAACTGGATTCCAAGAGAGTTGATCATAATGATTGATTCTGTAACAGAAAAAAAAGTTAACTAGTGCTATGGATTGAATTTTGTCCCCCACCACATTCATATGTTGAAACGCTAACCCCCAATGTGACTGTATTTGGAGACAGGGCCTGAGGCAATTAAAATTAAATGAAGTTCTAAGAGTGGGGCGTTCATCAGTGGCCTTATTGGTGGAACCCGGAGAAAGAAGGTGGCTGTCTACAAGCGAGGTAGCTCCCATCCGGCACTGAATCGGCCTTCAGCTGGTCTTGGACTTTCCAGCCTCCCAAACTGTGAGAAAGTAAATTCTGTTGAAGCCACACCACCTGCGGTATTTTGTTCCTGCAGTTTGCACTGACTAAGAAAACTGGTAACTTGGAACTTTGCCCAAACTGATCAGATAATAAACTCTAAATAAGAATTTTCAGCCTAGAGAGAAAAAGGAAACACAAAATACTTATGAGAGAGAAGGAAACAGTGAAATGCACGCAACATGAGGCGGTGCTGTGGGTTCAGAGGAGGGTGAAGCTGATTCTGGAGACAGGATGTCTGGCTGGAGCCCACGGCATTTGAGATGCGCTTACCATTTTGTGCACATGTCACTCCATGGAATCGTCAGAGTAGGAATGCTTCTTTATTTTCATGTGTAAGAGGGTGTTTAAAAGGAAAAGGCTGCTAAAATTTTGCCATCTGTAGAAATTTTGAGTTAATATGTTACCCTATCCATCATGTCCTGGAGGGTAACTATCCTATAGGAAAAGAGAAAGGGGCCAGGGGTACTTAGCCAGTGAGACGGAAGCCTAAGAAGATGAAGTGTATGGTCTATATACGAAATATGTAATGGCCTATATAAAGAGACCAGAAATTCCTGTGGAAATGAAAAGTTACAGGAATGTATAAGGCACTGAAGGGAGTATTTGTAGACTCCAGGCAGTTGCCGACTGTCTGGAGACCCTGAATTCACTGCCATGCGCTATACTGGAACTGGTCCCATCAACAGTTTCCAGAAGCCTGGATCCTATGGATTCTTAAATCCAGCCTGTTGAGTCACATGATCTGAAGATCTGGTTCATCTGCCTGGAGAATCCCTAAGAGAGGAAGAGAAATTAAGTAGGACCCTACAACATATGGATGTGAACTGATTCAGTAACACTGAGTGAAGAGGATATTCAAGATGAGATTTCTAAAGTCAGTAACAGATATGGTCAAGCGAGAGTGTGACGCTAGCCAGGGTTATCCCTCATGTCTCCTAACTGCTGCCTCACCCGATCAGACATTTCTCATATCACACAGAGCTCATCAATTCTCTTGGAACAGGCAGTTCCAAATCTGTTTCTCCATGTACGTAAGGGATCTACAGATAATAAACGAATTACAAGCCATTCCAGTAAATTAGAAAGCTTAACAAATTGTGTTATTATTATTTGTTGGTTTTGACTCTTATACCTAGATATGTTCCTGAATAGAGATAAAACAATAGTTTAGGCAAAACAGGGTGGAGTATTACTAATGATAACATAATGACAGCTCTAATAATTCAGGACTGAATATATTACCTATAGGCACATTCCATTCATTATCCCATATAATCCTTGCAAGTCTCTGAAGTTAGTGTTACTATTATTTTCCTTTTGTAAAGGAGGAAACTAAGGTTCAGAGAAGTTCAGACTTTTGCCTAAAGATGCACAGCTATCAAGTTGGAAAGCCAAGGTTCAAGCCCAGGTCTTGCTGACATCAAAGCTGGTTGATGCTTTTTCCATGTTGAAAATGAAAGCTTTCAGGGTGGGAGGACATTCATGTTTGATTAGTGCAAACTGTCTTCTGGACAAAGGACCCTCCCGCCCCCAACTCCCGGAAGATTCCCATTTACCTGTCAGGGCTGGATTCCAGAAGAATAGAAACACAAACACAATGAGGAGGGGCATCACGGCTGGGAGCGTGTGTTGAGGAGGCTGGAGGCAGGGTCTGACACAGGCTGTCAGGGAGAGGAAAGGGGAAGCGAGCACACCGTCTGGTCCGGGGTACGATCTGCCCCAGGGAGACACGCGACACTGATCCCCCAGGGGCAGGTGGGTTGGCGATGCCTGTGTGAGGGAAAAATGGACAGCCCTTTCCCATTTGACAGCTTTTGCTACTGGCGAAGGCGCTGCTCCCCAACCCCCGGATTTTCCAAAAGAACTAATGGAGACCTCAAAATTATATGCTTTTTCTTTTTTAAATAAACAAAATTTACTTTGTTTGGCTTTTACGTTACAACAAAAACTAAATGATATTTTAGAAAATTCATAAAATATTAAAAATTATAAGGAAAGAAAAGTCACCCTTGAGCCCCACCTCTCAGGGACAACCTGTGTGTTTCTCAAGAAAGTTTTATTTATGCCCAGTTTATTCTTTAATAGTCTATCTTTGCATAGTGATAAACTTCATGTACTTGTATTTATGGATCCTGCTTTTGTAACGTGACACATACTGTAAGTATTCTCCATGCCATTATAAACTTTCCATTAATGGTATCTTTAAAAGCTACACAGTATTTTACCAAGGTCATTAAAAAAAACTGTCACTATTAAAAAATCTTTATTGAGATGTAAATGACAAAAATTCCTGCAAATATTAAAGTGTACAGTTTGATAAATTTTGACACACATATACTTGAATGTGAAGCCATCATCACATTCAAGATAATGAACATATCTGTTTCCCCAATCATTCTTTTTAAATTTATTTTTTATTTTAAAAATTTTATTAAAATATTTATTTTTTTATTTATTTAATTTATTTATTTATTTATTATTGAAGTATAGTCAGTT